TCATTGGCACAACAGCGACTACCTTTGATGATGAATTGCTTCCATGACCCAGAGTCTATTGTCTTCTGCTATATTACTTCCATGCTCATCTCAATTAGGTGTCAACATGAAGATCATGGGGTATCCGACCCGAAACTGCTGAAATGACATCAAGGGTGACCCATCAGTCTGGTCTTTCAGCCTAAGCTAACCTCGCTATAGCTCTACATTGTTTTTGACTTCTTCTCAATAGTCAGGCTGGGGGTTGATAAGATCAGCGCTCTGCTCCTTCTTTCGCCGTATCTTTTGTGTCCTGAGCCGCCGGACCATTTTCAGTTTTTTTACTCGTCTCACCATCACCATTGTTGTTCTCTGGACTGTAACGTTCTTGATCTTGACTGGATTGCAATGCGGTACGCATTTCTCTGCGCTCTGATCTGGCGCTCTTGTTCAAGCGCAATACTGCTACATATCATACTTATTCTTGCTCGGCCTGACCATTTCCGAATTCTCTTGGACGTTTCGATCATCTGCCTGCCACCTCCTCAGGTATGTGTTCTTAGGGTAAACCAAAGAGTCTTGGAGATTTGACATCACTAGGTCTGGAAGGTTGAAGCGTCGCTCAGGCGTAAGCTTGGCGTGATGGGTATTTTCTACTGGCTTTAGTGTCCGTAAATCCTCGTCCTTTTGTTCTAAACCTGCAGCTCACATTGCTCTAATCGTTGCCAGGAATTGATTGCATGTGCACGTGGTGGAAGAGAACAAGGTAATGAAAAAAGAATGCAGCCAAGGCCGCCACCTTCTACGTACAAGCTATCTCTACAACATTCCCTCCTTTTCCAGATAGTCTCAGAGCTTCCTCCTACGAAACTATTATTTAAATATATAGCGCCTATTCTTTGAAGCGAAACGCCAAGCTTATATTCGTAAACTGAAAGGTCGCCGATAAGATCGAAGAAAAAAAAGTATAAACAATATCTTACTGCAGCACGAATATAAAGATAAAAAATAGCGAGGGATGTCGAGGGGTTTAAATAAATTTCTTGATATTCCGTTAAGTAACGCCTTACCCGATCGAGCGTTAGCGTTGCCGCCTTACCGGATTCGATCGCTCACGAAGGTCGTCTAGTGCCAAGCATTCCAGACGTTTTTAAATACGGAGGTCTGCACCGAAAGTCCTGCACCCGCCAAGACTCTTGCGCTCAGACTTCGGATAACGCCCCACCTAAAGGGCTACCTGGACAATACGTCTGGAGTTCTTCGGAATCGCACCTAGCCCTAGCCAGGTTTCGGGGCTTAATGCCCCTATCAAGCCAAAAGAAGTACCTAAAGTCCCATCCATGCGCTGTGAGAAGATATTTCTAGGCTTCCCCTCTATAGGGCCGCTTTCCGAAAGTAGGGTTAGGGCTGCACTAGTGCGGGTGCAGGACTTTCGGTGCAGACCTCTGTACGCTAAAGGAACATCACGGACGGACTCCGTCAAGGCCGTGACCGTTGCTAGGCGGGCTACTTCTCGGGCTCGTATGATGTTAGAACAGGGAGCATGCCTATCAATAATATGTAATTGTTGAAACCGGATGGTAAAGAATGTAGTGAGGCATATTGTAGGCAACATGTCAAGGAGACAAAGTACGAATATTTGTAGTCACGGTGGTACTTTTCTTGCCTTCGGAGATGTGACTCGGACTCGAGGCGAGACCGAAGATGTTCAAGAGCCGCTAGCGGGGGGGGGGGGCCAGGGGGGGGAATCCTTGTTGGTGCTTAATCTACCCGGAGCTTGGCATTGACCTTTGATCACAGGCCGTCCTTTCCATCACACTCTCTCCCCAATCATACAAGTTGCCGTTATTGGCGGCGACTGCTCCAATCGATCGTGCATGATGATTGATCCTTGAGGCTGAAATCGATTAAACGCCGAGGAAAGACCTTGCAGAGGTTACTGAATACTGTCACACCCAGCCATCGGTGCCTTCAGGCACTCCACCTGAGGCATGGGGAATTGCGGGTCTTCGTGCTGTAAAGGTAGCTACAAAGGCAACGTCTTATAGATGGCAGATCGCTGCGGATTGCTGATAATCACCAAGGTCGCTCGAGGGATGCTCTGTACGAGCCCGCGCTCGCAGATAGCGAGAGGGAAGCTGTCGCAGACCTACTACAGTATCTTGAGAATGTATGTTTCACTTACCCTTTCCATGGCGAATACAGCTGACCAAACTTGCAGCGAGGCGAGACCGACTTCTTCTCTGGGGAGCCTCTTCGATCTCTGAGCACCCTCGTCTACTCGGAGAATGTCGATCTACAACGGAGTGCTAGCTTGACGTTTGCCGAGATCACAGAACGAGGTCTGAGCAAGCGGTCTACTACTGCAATGATATACTAACATGCTTGGGTTAGATGTCAGAGAAGTCGACCGAGATACCCTCGAGCCCATCCTCTTCCTCCTTCAAAACGACGATATAGAAGTACAAAGAGCAGCCAGCGCGGCGTTAGGAAATCTGGCCGTGAATAGTATGCAATTGCTCTCCAAAGAGATGATCATACACTAATGGAATGATAGCCGAGAACAAGGTCGCCATCGTTCTGCTTGGTGGTCTTTCCCCTCTGATACGGCAAATGATGTCCACCAACGTCGAAGTTCAATGCAACGCCGTGGGCTGCATCACGAACCTGGCAACACACGAAGATAACAAAGCCAAGATAGCAAGATCAGGAGCACTGGGCCCGTTGACCAGACTTGCTAAATCTAAGGACATGAGAGTACAAAGGAACGCTACGGGAGCTCTGTTGAATATGACTCATTCAGGTTTATCAGGTCTACGCCAATCAGATGTGATAGAGTGCTGACGAAGGTCACAGATGATAATCGACAGCAGCTGGTTAATGCTGGCGCTATTCCTGTTCTTGTGCAGCTTCTCTCTTCTCCGGACGTCGACGTTCAATACTACTGTACCACAGCCCTGAGCAACATTGCGGTCGATGCTGGCAATCGAAAGAAGCTTGCCCAGAACGAGTCACGTCTAGTCCAGTCACTTGTCCATCTCATGGACTCTTCCTCGCCCAAAGTGCAATGCCAAGCTGCACTTGCTCTCCGAAACTTAGCGTCCGATGAGAAATATCAGCTAGAAATCGTCCGCGCTCGGGGCCTCCCACCACTGCTACGTCTGCTTCAATCGTCTTATCTGCCACTCATTCTCTCTGCTGTCGCATGCATCCGGAACATCTCTATACACCCTCTCAATGAGTCTCCCATCATCGATGCCGGATTTCTAAAGCCTTTGGTAGAGCTTTTGGGGTCCACTGACAACGAAGAGATTCAGTGCCACGCTATCTCTACACTACGTAACCTCGCAGCTAGCTCTGACCGCAACAAGCAACTGGTGTTGGAAGCTGGTGCGGTACAAAAGTGCAAAGATCTGGTGCTCGGCGTGGCCTTGAGCGTACAGTCAGAAATGACTGCTGCCATAGCCGTATTAGCCCTCAGCGACGAGCTGAAGACACACTTGCTCAATCTCGGTGTCTTTGATGTTCTGATCCCCTTGACGGATTCGGAGTCAATTGAGGTCCAAGGCAACAGCGCAGCTGCTTTAGGAAATCTATCATCAAAAGGTATAATACATGTCATCTGCCCCTAATTTCGCAAGCTAACAACGTTCGTAGTCGGCGACTATTCGAGATTCATCAAAGACTGGACGGAGCCAAATGGAGGCATACACGGATACCTGAACCGATTTCTCGCCAGCGGTGATGCCACCTTCCAGCATATCGCCATATGGACATTACTCCAACTTCTTGAATCGGAAGACAGGGACCTCATTGCCCTCATATCAAAGGCGGAAGATGTCATTCAGATGATAAAGACAATATCGGACAAGAACATCGAGTCGGACGAGGAAGAAGGGGAAGAGGGAGAGGGAGAAGTGGTAGCCCTAGCGCGCCGGTCTCTCGAAGTACTCAACAAATCGCCCGAACCCGCAAGGCAAACACTTGTCGAGGGCTAATACTAACTCTTGCGATTCGACTTTTCCCACCTCTTTAGTTTAATATCTTGGCTTGACCTGCAAGGCGTTCCGGAGACAACCTCGTCATGTTTTACAGGATTAGTCATGCGGAACATCAAGTGTGGAGGGAATTCTACGGATGTTCTGTTGGGCCAGGCAAATTAGGCGGTATCTGTTTGGCGCAGAGAACGCTTGATTCATGTACTTTCTTTAGAAGGTGATGCTGATGTGGGCTCAGAGGTCTGCAACCGTGAATATACTTCTTCGAGTAGCTTACAACTTCCTCCAAACCTCATCAATTATTGCAGGAATGCCTGCAGCAGAGATTCTTCTTGATTAGATGTGCACATTGCATCCATACCGTCATACGCTTATGTAGAGCCTGGATGATGCGTACTGATCATTACGATTGACTTGACGAGATACTAGAAGCTTCGTAGTAGCTACAGATCCGAGTTGAGGCCCTCGGCACGACTACAATGGAAGCGACCTTCCAAGTTGAATTGCCATTTGATGATCCGTGTTGAATTCGAGGATATTCACATACCATGCGCGCACACTTACCTTCAAGCCCAAGTCTCATATAGAACCAACTACGTGCGAGCACAAGGTCTGAAAAGCCATCACTCCACGTCCCCAGGTTCGTCCTGACATCTAGGGACAGGTACAAGTCGTCCGCCAGCCGAAAACACCGCCGCAATTCGGTGTGCGGGATCCTGTCAAGTTCCAGCACCCAGAGGCGTTGGGAATCTTCACAGACGGTCTACTTCCCAAGCCTCGAGAAGATCGATAGGGTGGCTTTCTCTTGTATCATGTTCGTGCACCCACACGCCCAGATAGCTGTTCAGCATAGCCCCGTTGATTCGACTCGAAAGGAGAAATTATCAAGAGTGTTGTAAATCGTAGTACAGAAGTCTAAAATTTGTAACATAAAACCTTCCACCAAGGTCACGTGCATCATTACCGAAACCCCCACCGACGCAAACCCGGTCCTCAAACTCTCTTTCCACACTCCATCCACCAATGGCCGCCCCAACCTCCCTACCTCCCATCGCCTACCCAGGCCTCCCCCTCGGCCCCTCCACAGCCTACACGCCCGGTCCCGGAACGCACCTCCACGCCCCCTCATCGACCATCCACGCCTCCCTCGCCGGCCGCCCCGTCCTCACCCCCCAAAAGCCACCCGCCTCCAACCCCACCATCTCCATCCCCCGCCTGCTCCCCCCGCCCGCCCGCGCGCCCGTGCCGTCGGCGAACGTGGGCAACACGAACACGCTGCCGCGCGTCGGGAGCGTGGTGCTGTGTCGGGTGGTGAGGGTGCGGACGCGGCAGGTCGATGTGGTGATGCTGGCGGTGGGCAGGGAGGACGGGGGAGGGGGGGAGGATGTGTGCGGGGATGAGTGGCAGGCTGTGGTTCGGAAGGAGGATGTGAGGGCTACGGAGAAGGAGAAGGTGGTTTGTGGGGACGGGTTCAGGGTGGGGGATGTGGTTAGAGGTGTTGTGGTGAGTGGCCCTTCTCGACCGGGAGTGTCCTTTGGATTGAATGGAGTTGGGCACGATGAGCATGTGGCTGTTCAACGATGATGGGGATGTGGGAGGGGCCATGGCTGACGTTGTACAGATCAGTCTGGGAGACCAGTCGAATTATTATCTGTCTACGGCGAGGAACGAGCTTGGTGTCATCATGGCGAGGAGCGAGGCCGGGAACACAATGGTTCCGATCAGCTGGAAGGAGTTTAGGGATCCGATTACGGGAGAGAGGGAGAGTAGGAAGGTCGCGAAACCTTTCTGACGAGAGCGAGGAGTCGATAGAGCAGACAAACGGTTTAATGTAAGAAAGATTTGATCGCCTAGTCTTCGGAGTAGGGAATGAAAACGCAGAGCAATTACGTTGTTTTTGCGTGAGATGAGTAGGCTACGTGGGTCATGTAATTCTTCTTGGCTGGTCTTGAGGTGAGCGAGCTGACAGCTTTCTAGGATATCATTGTAGACACGACTGTCAGGACCAGGTGTTGACAGGTCTTGGGCTTATGTGATTGAACTTCAAGTCCCTTCTTTTGCTTCCTCCGTTTTCTCTCTCCGTGTTGGCTTGAGGCTTTGTCGTTACCAGCTTTTTGCTTTCGCGGAACTCATGCTTGCACAGTCTTTCATCGTCTTGACTTCTTTTCTCAGTAATTTGCGGAACTTTTCTGATGTTTAGCACGAAACAGTTCATTCGTAGCTGTAGTCAGATCAGACTATCAAGAGACGCGTATTATAAGGCGGTCCTAAAGCTATACTGCCATGACTATACACAAAGAAATAAACACCACCTCTGTAGGGGAAACCATGCACAGCACTCATGACTGAACTTGAAGATATGCTCGCGATGTATATGGCTTAAGCAGGAACAGGGCACCAGCAACAAAAACCGAACGTAACGTTGATTACCTCAACTTCCTCATATTGCACTGCCCGGTCGACGAAGCCTCGACGTGGCTGGCAACTCATGAGGTGCAATACCTTTTCGCGAATCCCTGTCCAATGGCATTTCCTGCGGCGGCTGCCTATGAGATGACATTTCCGATGTCGTACACACCTGGTTGTCCGAATACTCCGGATTCTTGACCGCCTCTGCCACGGCCCCATACTCTTGCTTCTGTATCCCGGCCAAACGCTGAGCTCGTCGCTTCTTCTGGACGAAGAATACGCCAATGCATATAGCGATAATGGCCAATCCACCAACGACCGCGCCAGCGATCGCGCCTTTAGGGGTGCCAGAGCTGGACTTTGGCGTCGGGGTCGGGCTTGCGAGGATAGAGGGCAACGGCTGCGGTGTATGCGAGGGCGCTGGGGTGTTGCACGCGGGCGGGCCGATGGCGACGAGGTTTGAAGTGGTAGACTGTTGGCTTTGCGACAGCGTGAATTGCCGCCGGTCGTTGTCGACCATGAGATATGCGGAGCTAAGAAATGGCATGCCGAAGAGCGGCATGTCGTTCGTGTTGCTGCCTTGGAGACTGTTGATCAATACTTCGACTTCGGTGGAGCTGGATGGATATCCTTGTCCTTCAGAGTTGATCTCGATATCGGGAACAATGAGTTGGTGATTGGGAATTGTTATGTCGAGGTCTGGGTAGATTGAGAAGGTGAGATCGCCATCGTATCTGGATTTATATTAGTGAGACTGACTGCTAGATGGGCTGAGAAGTTGGCCCTACGCTCCATTCGTGGGGATCATCATTCCCCACAGATTGATCGGGCTTACAGAACGACCTGTTTCAGCTACTCCAGTGACGTTTGTGAAGGCCCACCAGATATCCTCAGACAGCGTCATGGGACTGTAGTCAGGTTCAATACAGGCTCTCATGGCCGATCCCCGTGATTTTCCTATAATGCTAATATTTGAGCCATTGTTCAAATTCATATTGATATCAGTCACGGAAATGAGCAAGCCGTTAATGCAATCCTCTTCAACTGTAAGAGGTAGCGTGATATTTTTGCCGGTAATTTTTGCCGAATCATAACCGCCAAGTATCAAACTTCCGTCCGTCTGGTACTGAGTCTGGGCACCAGTCCAGCCCTGGAAAATCGAAAAGGTCCTGGAAGCTATAGCTTCGGCTGAGACAAGAGCATTTAGCAAGGTCGAGTTGCGCCCCAGTCCTAAGGTGTTCTGATAGTCTCTTGAGCCTCGAAAGATTCCCAATGGAAAATCTGGTACTGAAAGCGTAGTATTAACGAGCAAAGTATCACTTCCCCAAGTGTCGTTATCCTGATCTGATGTACTCTCGCCAGCGGTCCCTAGTGCGGCGAAATTTGATGGGGACCATGTTGTCGAACTCCCCTCGTCGAACAGGCCACCGTATTGGTTGGAGCATTGCGACCGTGTATTGTTGACGCTGCAGCGGGGGACTGTACCGTCATTAAGGTATGTGTTGTTGTATGTTCTAGATTGGTCAGATGCAATTGTTACAATTCAGGTGTATCCGATCAAAAGGATACGGACGGATTGATTAGACAGGCAAAAGGCTGTCCGGGAGTCCCAAAGGACACAGCAGCGCCTCTCCTTAATGTACTGTCGCTCAGAGTGACGTTACGGATGGGGTAGTGAATCGGAATGGAATTCTGCGGAGTGCAGGTGGGCAGGGAGGTAGCGGCAGACGAAGCCGCAAACAACGGCCGAGGTAAGAGAGAAGCCAAACAGAGTAACAGCGACGTCTGCCACTGCGATAACCTCATTTTTGTAGCTTTCAAGGTTATATAGCTTTGTTTGTCTGATAAAGAGAAGACGCAAAAGGCAAGAGATTGAGGACTAGGGAAAAGAGACTGCTCAAGATTTTCGTTTTGCCTCAGCGTCAACGTCGACGCGGAGGGCTTCCGAAGGCACGCTTTCCATACTATCAAGCTCCCTCGAAGAGGAGGGTGGGATAACACATCGGGCTTGCATTAGGGTAGTATCAGATGAAATGGACATGCATTGTCAAGACACAGCCCACTGAACATGAACCTAATTGACCCCTGGCAGGAATCCTACGAAAGAGAAGTTGACGAATCAGAAGTAAGATGATAAAAGATATTGCGCCGTCGGGCGTGATCAGCAAAAGTTGGTTCGACGTGGACTGCTAGATGGCTAAGCGCTGAGTGGGTATGTAACTAAGGTACTTACTTTAGGCGATTTTCAGCAGCCACATTTTAGACTTCGAACGGCCTCGGTGCGCCCACTTGTGCCACAAGAACTCCCGTACGAGTCTTGCGTGATTTACCGGGAAGGAAACGAAGCAAGAGGCGAAGTAGCTACCTAAAACGTAAAGGTTCCCTGGGGTTAGTATCGAGGACACTTTGCACAGCACAAAGCGCTGCTCCTTTGAAGCCCATGAGCTTCCGAAAATTCTCTATCATTGCTCAGCGCCTCGTCAAGTTTCATCATGTGAAAGGGTCGCTGCGCGCAGGAAAAGGATGAAGTAGTATTGAGGGATGTGGAGACTGGAGAGTAGGTATTGTGTTTCGTAAGTTTAAGGGTATGAGCGGCTGCGTTCGGGGGTCCGGGGGTCATGGGCACTGGCTTTCCTAGCCGCCGAGTGACAGCAAAATGTCCCCGGAAGTTGAAACCGAGCTAGGAAGAGCGCCCCCTTATTGTCCGCCAATCACCCAGCATCATACCCGAGTGGGCCTCCGGTAACCATCGTAAAGAAGCTTCGCCCTATCTCTGGTCCTACGAGTACCGCTCCGCAACGTGCAGGCTCCACTCTCCACTATCCTTTTCAGCTTTCGGCGTCCTTCGAGATGAACAGTCTTTTTGCCAGATGTCTCTGCCTCTCACGTGTCTCCCTCCGTTCATCATATACATTTCTGTTCCCTTGTAGTAATTCCTCTCCACAATGACGCCCCTGCCAACAGCATGGAACACCATAGCTTCATGAATGGCATCGGGCAGAGCCTCGTGAGCGGCACCAGCGTCATACGACGACGGCCTACCCGATTTAGTTTTGGAGCATTCTTGTTTGCCCTATACATATACTTCTTCATTTACAATGGTCCAATAGGGTCAGGATCGCGGGCACAACAGCCTTTGCAGCCTCAGTTGGACGAGATCCCTCCTCGAATATGGCAGATCTTCTTCGGCTACACCCCGCTCGACGACTTTGCGCCTGCACTTCAAACGTGGATTTCGAAAAACCAGGATTACAGCTACACCCTCATGAGCAATCAGGGCGCCAATGACTTTGCCCGAAAACACTACGCCGATCGACCAGATATCCTCGAACCCTTTCTCCAACTGAAATTCCACGTCCTTCGTTCTGATCTGCTGCGATACATGATACTCGAATCAGAAGGGGGAATATACAGCGATCTTGACACAGTTGTAGCCAAGTCCGTTCGAGACTGGATTCCACAAGAGATGAGGTCCAAGGTTCACGCTGTCGTCGGAGTGGAATATGACCAGCTAGATGGAGAACCATACTATGGTATGAACGAACGGATTCAATTCTGTCAATGGACCATGGCGGCTAGCCGAGGGCACCCCATTATGAAGAAAATCGTGAAGAAAGTCGTTGCAGCCCTGAATGAGACAGTTGAGCGCAATAACACTAGCATCGCCAACTTCAAGCCATCGGATGACGAGGTTGTCCAAGTCAGTGGGCCTGTTATCTGGACACGCGCTGTCATGGAAGCTATGTCGGAGGCGACGGGGACCGAGATGAACTACCTTAACATCACAGGCATGACTGAGCCACGATTATTTGGAGACGTCCTTGTGCTTCCGATTGATGGATTTGGGGCAGGGCAACCACATTCAAACTCGACTCGGGACGAGCACCAAGGGCCAGGAGACTTCTTTGTGAGGCATCAATGGAAAGGATCTTGGAAACATGGGTGGAATGATGAGTCTCAATTGTAAGAGTGATCGAACCACTCGTACTTGGAACCCTTTTCTGGTTTTGGTGTTGGAGAAGAAGAGTAGCGAGAAGGCTGTAAGCACTCTTCGAAGAGGCCCATTGTGTATGGAGGATTATTAAGACGCAAGCATGAAAGGTCTAGGGTCTATGAAGCATTCTGTACAAGGTGCGAGGACAGGATATGGACGGTGCGTTAGCTCTTTGCCTCCCCGCTTATAAGAGATTTTGCTTGAAAGAGAGGACCTGATATTTCCTCAGAGCCATCGACGCAAACGCGGCTATCCCCACTTATCACATTAGAATATGCATACTATCTAAATTCCATCTTCCGACGTCCCATCCATCTACCTCTCTGTTTCTACCCACATGCATCCTTGCCATCTCGCTTCATGCTCTTTCCTCCAATTAAAAGACAACCTCCACAGTATACATCGTCTCGACCCATTCCTTTGTGGAATAGTCAGTGTCAGACTTGTTTGTCAACGGAGGAAGATCGAAAAGCATCGCTTGATAACATACGATGACTGACCAAATGCATGGATGCTCTCTGGGTTTCCCACGGAGAGTATCGGCCATGGTGGTGGGACATCCATCGCTTCAAATCATATAGAAGAAGACTCCACATCCTTGCTGTGGATTATTTTTATGATTGAGGTGACGCTATGAATGCTATGACTGTAAATATGCACAAAATGCTCAACGCAGGGCTCCCAGGCGCTGCTCTATACACATATAACCCAAATATTTCCGATTTACCTGTATCTCGCTCCATCCTTCTTCTTATATGGTAGCTTCTCGGGCTTCTTCCTCGTAAACTCGATGTTCATCCCCTTAACGCCCGCCCTCGTCACCACTCCATCGGTCCCCTCATCCCATTTGCTCCTGAACAAATGCATCCCAATCGGCTTCAGCGGCTTCTTATCCACAAATCTTCGAATCTTCCAGCCGTCCCTTTTATTCCTCGAACTCTCTCTCAAAGCCTTGATATCCAAGCTCGCTCCCTTCCAAGCACCATCTTGCTGTATAACAAAAACCGCCAACCGGTGGTACGGTGCGCCCTTTTCCGCGTATGGCGGCAGCCAAGGATGCACAATATGCTCCTCCTTTTTCAACTTGAACAACGGTATCGAAGTATTCGTCGGACTCAACGGTACATTCACAGCCAGAAAGTGACATCTCGAGCCGAAACTATCTCGCTCCTCATCCGGCACATCTTGGTCCACGACCGCTATACTGACCAACCTCTCCCCCTTATCAAAGACCCGCACGTTCAGCCGTGCCGGTATCTCGCTAACGCGCGAATCGACGAATTCGCCAGGCTGGACGTTGCGTCGACCGAAGCCGAGGGAGACTTCGGCGATGGGGTCGAGGTGTGGGAGCATGTCAGGGACGATGTGCATTTGGGATATGCGTTGCATGAGGAGTTTGCGTTTGTACTCGCGCCATTTGCGGTCAGCGAGGTAGCGGTAGATTGGGCGATCCATGTCTCCTAAGTCACGCCCCAAGATTAGCATCAACTCCACAAGCATCAGAGTGGGCGTAAGTGGTATATCAGACTCACCCATCCCATCCTCAAATCTCTTCTTGATAACCGGGTCATTCACATCCGCCAAGATCTTCAACTGCTCCAAATACCTCTGCATCCTCACCAACTTCCCCTTCTTCGCATACTCCCCCCCCAAATCACTCGCCGGCACATTCTGCCAGAAAGCTATTCGTTTTCGCATTTCTGCTATCTCCAAGAGTTTCCGGGAACGGTCTTCGGCGAGCACGGCTCGTGCTTCTTGGAAACATTGGTAGGGCATTTGTTCGAAGGGAACGTTGTCGGAGGAGAGAATGGATGCGCGGCGGCGGCGGGAGCCGATGGGGTGGACACCGGTGCGGAGGAGCCGGCGCTCGTCGCGGGGAGTAGAGACGGTGTTGGGGTCGAGGTTTGGAGGGGGTGGGGCAGGGGGGGTGGATGTTGTTTCGAGAGCTTCAACATTCCGCTGGGTGCTGGTTGTAAAGCTGGGGGAAGAGCATGGGGGAATGGGTCGTCGCCGCGCTGCATTTCGTAGGCAGTGCAGGGCTGGACGAATGGTGTAAGTTGGCATCGCCATGGTCAGTGACTGTATTATAAGGAGAAGAATGTCTCAACGACGAGGTCTATGTTATAGAATGGTGGAACGTAAAATTCTTGGCTCTAAAGCGACTGAGTCAGCACCCGTTGTCCTATCCAAACTTTACATCAATGAAATTGATGGCTGCCATATCGCCAGTTTAAGGCATACCATTCAGTACACAAAGACTACGCGAAATCTGTTAGGTCTCCGCCAAGCGCACGTCGATTCCGCAACCGCTTCGCATTATCCAGCATTCTAGATCAGGCTGGCCATTATGGCCACTAAGAGCTTGCGCAGCTCAGGGCAGATTTCGAAGAGATCATTGGCCGCTTTCGCTGGCAAGCGAGATCCACTGCTTGTAATGATCACGCCATGAGTTGAGAAGCATCATCTAACGACCAACCAGCAATGTCTCGCACCACGCCTCTCGAGGTCAATGGCAACAGAGACTCAGCTCCCGCAAACCGCGATCTATAATCCGTTTACCCCTACGATACTTCGCCGACCGCCTCCTCCAGTGCCCAATGTACTAGCAACAGTCTACAGCTTCCCGTACATGGAGCCCCTACGCTTCACCGAATACCCAGCCAATCAATTACATCTCCCACTCCGCCGCGATATTCTACACCGTGCTGTCATATACGAAGCCAATGTCCATCGGGGAATGCGAACTGCGAACACCAAGTGGAGAAGCGAAGTCCACGGCAGTGGGCACAAAATACGGGCACAAAAAGGCACAGGCAGAGCTCGACTGGGTGACAAGAAGAGTCCCATGCTTAAAGGAGGCGGTGTGGCGTTTGGGCCCAAGCCTAGGGATATGTCTACCAAGCTACCGCGCAAGATCTACGACCTGGCATGGCGGACAGCGCTGAGTTACCGGTATAGAAGGGGGGAGCTGATTGTTGTGCAGAAAGTTGAGGATATTGAGAATGAGGATTCCAGGTTCATGAAGCAGATCATGCAGTGGAATCATTGGGGGAAGGGAGACGCGAGGTCTTTGATCGTCACGAGGAGGGTGATGCCTAAATTGTTTAAGGCTTTGAATGGGTCCAAAGAGCAGCCGGGATGTGGTCAGCACGGCATAGTGAAAGAGGAGGCGGATATTGATGTCAAAGATCTTTTGGAGCTTGGGAGGGTGGTGATTGAGAAGAGATCATTGGATGCGATCTTGAGGGAGCATTCGAGCGATTTGAATATGAGGGTGCCTTCTGCTGTACGCAGATGACTGAGATTAGGCGTTGGTGAAGCTAGGTCTATACAATTGCAACCAATCAGCCTTACCATGCATACAGTTCCAAATTCAAGTAACCTTTATCGAATTCACACCCTGCCTCGAACTTCATGAGTGTCAAGGGGTAGTACTTCATCACTTCGAATAGGCTCGGGATAGAGTTATACCGAAGCCGAGGTTCGCGCCAATAAGCGTAAACAGATCGGGAAACAAAATGTTTCCCTTCTTCAACGCTTGGATTGACGTACTGCAATGCCAGCTTTATTGCCATTGATGTTCCTACGACCTTCCTGCACAACAGCATATAGGCCGCTGAGCAGGCTCTCGCGGTCCCCACTTTCTATAATGCCTCTTAAAGCGAAGATTCTCAATCCTGCAATATCAGGGCAAGCTGCAACAGTACGGAGCTTCGCAATCCTTGGCTATGGCTCGGTGTTGCCATGACGGCACTGATATTCTTCCAGATGGCCACAGGTCCTCAGGCACCAAAGGAAGAACCCCGAAACGACCCCGACGACGTCCTTTTCAACCCCATCTACGGTGTCCGTACCATCGAGCTCAACCGACCCCAGAAGCTCAACTCCCTCAATGGCTCAATGACCCGCAAGATAATGTCTAGACTCCAAGTCCGCACACCCCAACCTTGCCTGCTTTACTCCTCCAGCTGAACCCTTGCTACTTCTAGGAATGGGAGAAGTCCCAATTGGCCAGTGTAATAATCATCGGTGGTGCCGGCCCTAGAGCCTTCTGCGCCGGCGGTGACGTCGCAGCTCTCGCCGAGCTCAATGCATCTGGTCCTGAAGGCCAAGCTGCGAGTCAGGCCTATTTCGCGCTCGAATACCAGCTTGATCATCTCATAGCTACATACCCCAAGCCTTACATCGCATACATGGACGGTATTACCATGGGCGGCGGCGTTGGGCTGTCGGTACATGCTCCCATACGAATAGCTACCGAACGAACGCTCTTTGCCATGCCTGAGACCTCGATCGGCTTCTTCCCCGATGTTGGTGGCTCGTTCTTTTTACCCAGGCTGGAAGGCAGCATAGGAAAATACCTCGCGCTCACATCCGAACGATTGAAGGGCGTCAACGCCTTCTACGCGGGTGTAGCAACCCATTACGTCCACTCCTCCTCGCTCTCATCCCTTACAGCCCGCCTCGCGGAAATCGAGTTCAAAGACTACGAAGACATGTACTCCCGCCTCGCCACCATCGCGGCTACAATTGCAGAATTCGAGACGGGGCTACCGCACGATGAGCCGATGCTTTTAGCGGGCGAGCTGCGAAAAGCGATTGATCGCTGTTTTGGCTATGGGGCGATTGAGGCCATCATCGATGCGCTTGAGGATGAGGAGAAGGACGCGAAGCTCCCAGAACATATCAGAGATTGGGCGAATAGCACCCTCGAGACTCTGTCAGAACGCTCTCCGACGAGTCTCAAGGTAACGCTGAAGCAAATGGAGCTGGGCCGCCGATGGACCATTGGTGAAGCTTTCAAGAACGAATACCACATTGCAGGCAGGTTCATGTCGCATCCCGACTTCGGCAGCGGCGTCTCTGCACGCCTGATACACAAACCTCCGACGAAGCCGACTTGGAATCCTCCTTCGCTCCAAGGTGTCACCAGGGAAGATGTTAACAAGTTCTTCAACCACGAAGGCGAATTCCCTATGAAATTGCGGAACGAGCAGGAAAGGGACTACAGAGAGTACCCCTTCCGCATGGGTCTGGTGAGGGAGGACGAAATACGAGGCGTGGTCCAGCAGGGAGGGCAGAAGGCCCAAAAGGTGATAGCGAAGTTCTTCGATGAGGGCGGGAGGAGATCAGGGACGAGGGAGAAGGTGGAAGAGGTGCTGGCGAGGAACTGTGATCAAGACGAGGAAGGGTGTCTGATCTGGAAGCGCTGAGAGCCATCATAGTCACAGTGTACGGCGTAAGACGGTAAAGGGGGGAGGAGAAGCTCTTTAAAATCGAGCTTGGTACACCTGTAAATATACATCCGCCAAGCCAGACGCGTCTACATAGGTACTTTACTTGAAACCTCCACCGCAAGCCGAACGCCCTAGGTACGTCACCAAGCTCTTCCCGGCACGTCCTCCGCGTCAGGCAGACCCTCGGGTGCAGATATCATCCAGCATGCAGGCCATGCCACCCAGCGACGCACATCGGCACCCCAGTCCCGTTCACCGGGAACGGGCACTTTTAACACGCGGAGGAAATCTTTCCCGGAAAATGGCATGCATGCATGCATCTACCTACATGACTTTGTGCAGATTCCGATCGCGCGGTATTCCCGGCAAATTCAATACTTTACGTTTTTCCGATAATCGTTCGAGGCGATGGCGATGTTAGCGAGGATTGTGCGGGATGGGAATTCCGTGTGCGGACGTCGATGGGTGTTGTTTTGGGGTGGGATAACGGGTTGCATGGACGTGGATGGCGTATGGACGGTGATTGATCGACCGTTTGAACGGTTCGTTGAAGGGGGGGGATGGTGTTGTTGTTGTTGTTGGTGAATATTAGTTAGGGGAGGGACTTGTTCAATGATGTCTGTAGAGTAGAGTAGACCTCAGCTACAGTACCTTAGCTAGATGACTTGTATTCTCGACACGTCTCCACAGCGGCGACGCAGGTCCGACGCGGCTGCTACTTGCTGAGTTGGCAAGGAACGGGGAAAGCTGCAGGGTAAAGGAGTTGTAGGCAAAGATGTGCGTGTGAGTGATGGGATCGCGGTCGATATTTGTAGGACCTCGATTACGAAGGGACTAAGATATAAGATCTACAGACCATTTCCGATATTTTGAAAGGAGAGGTCAGCGTTTGTATGATACGCTTATAGGATAGAGTAGAACATATATATACCGATTCCGGAGAGAGAGAGAAAGAGAAAGAATCACTAGCGTCTACGAAAAAGCCTGCCTTTTGACTTTCGGGCAACAGCCGCGATATCATGCAAGATTATGCACGAGAAGAAATCGGGGAACCGTTGGCAATCGAAGCAGGACTGGGATATCGAGTTTCGTACTTGAAAGGATCGGGGGAACCGAAAAAGGGTGAGGGCATAATGACGCGCGCCGGTTGCCACGATCGGTGCGTCACCGGTGCGTCATGTCTGTATCATATGGCCGCTGCGCCCCTATCGTATAGATGATGAAATTGCGCAAAAGAAAGAATCTTTCATCTTTTTCCCCAGTATGTTGAAGATCAAGACACATTTCTGTCGCGGTTGCTCTCCTTGCAACCAACATACATCGAGTAGAAGAATGCTTGGGTAAGCCTGCGTTCTTGAAATCGGTCTTGTTGTCGACAGGGAAAGAAAGTCAAAAACTCGGCGTGAGGCAACGTGCATTCGCAGTACCATGCGTGTCACACAGGATATCAGACTGAAAGTTATTGCTGGCGCAAGTACGCTTGTCTCATGGGCTAACTAGAGTTATGTGCTCGTGGTGGTATCATAAAGTAAGTACAACCATCCCACTTCCCCAAAATTGAAATGAAATCGCGCATTTTAGCTATAGTGCCGTGGTATATTAAGAGACTCGTTAGGAGCAGACATGAAGCCGAATCGTACACCGGCCGAAGAACGAAAGCTGCCAGCCATGAAGCGAGCCATGTTTGTCTGGAAAGCGTGCAAAGGCGGTAGCAGCTGTTTCGTCGATATTATGGTCTGATGCTTCATGAGGTGATCAAAGTTACAAGAAGCCGAGTACCTATTGCTAGGCTGCCAGTAACAGGTACGACTACCATGACCGTTACTCGAGCAGAGAAGGCCACAGGGTAGCTGGTGCTTAACCAGCAATAGCCACAGCGGACGCAATACCCTCGTCGCTCGTGTCATGCTTCATCGAACTTGTTAGCAAGGCTTCCAAGGCATTGTCATCGTCGGCGATCGAGGCGTTGCTTCGCTCAGCTGGGGGAGACGTGCTTCCGAGATTGTTTTCACCGGACTCGGAGTCGATGCTGCCCGGACGGCTTCGTGGCCTACTTCCAATAGGACTGATCTCGCGATTGAATAGGTCGTCCTCCTGCTTATGGTCGGCGAAGTTGTTGGCTCCGGACTTGATGTAAGTCTGGATTGATTCACAGTCACATTGGCTGTGCTTCAGCAGCTCTCCCCTGAGGAACAGCACCTCTTGTCGACACGAATCAACTACCAGGCGGAGCTGGGTGTTGTTCTTCTGCAAGTCGCGGGCACGGTTCTCGAGGTTTTGAGTCCATTCCTTCTTCTTCTGGCGACACTTGGATGCAGCAACACGATTACGCTCTAGGAACTTGGAACGCTTGACGTCTTCTGGCTTGATGGGCTCATTGGTTTTGTTTGAGCCGCGTGATGCGTACTTGCGGGTGCGCTTAGGTGGTGACTGGCTGGTCGAGTCGTTGGTGGGAGAGTTACGCTTCCGCTTTCCTTTGCCTTCATCCTGCGGTGGCTGCATCTTATGCTGCTCGAGCTGATCGCGAAGCTGAAAGTCCAGCAGGCTCTCGTTGTCGTTCTCGTCGTCTGGCGGAGTGACTTGGCCGTAATGAGCACGCGTGTTGGCTGGGTGAATATTGGTAAAGATATTGGATGGGGTGCCTTGCTTATAGCCATCGTAAGGCCAGCTCTTTGGAGAAAAGGAGGCAGAGCTCGGTGGTGTGAAGGGACGGAAGCTGGCTTCGTTGCTCCAGAGCACACTCGACGCCCCAGGGGTCGAGAACTGGTTCTGGTATGGGGACTCGGCTCTAGAGGATGGCTCGAAGTCGAAGAAGGAGGATTCGTCGGTGTTGATGGAGATGGGATTACCATCTCGAGTTGCACCATACTTTTCCGTCTGCTGTGGCTCGATGGTATGATTATTGGTGGGTGTGTTGCCAAAGGTCTTGATGAAATCGTTGTTCTTGGCAATGTTGCGGGCAAACATGTTGGCGGCACCGTATGGGTTCGGTGAGATGTAGCCTTGCGTTGCAGCAGTCATGATGGGTGGCGATGAGAGGTAACCGAAGGTGCCGAATAGGAGTCCTGCTTGTTGTATCAGTGCATTGAAGGGGTGGCAAAAACGGAGGTGTCTCCTGGCGGAGCGTACCTCGGTAAGGGCCTTTGGCGATGGAATTTCCCAAAGATTGTCGTTGCAATGGCAGATTTTATGGTGAGTGATGCGCTTTCTGATGAGCAAGTCGAGGTTATCAGGGTGATAATATAATATTGAGGGATGTTGTGAAGATGGGTGGCGTTAAGGTGGGATGGAGGGAAAAAGATTGAGTATATAAGTGGAGTGTAGGAAAGCGGAAGCTCGGAGGTTGCTCAGTCAAAGTAATTGACTTCGCTGTAACAGAAGAATGGGCGAGACGGGTCCTACTCAGAAACTAAAGCTTGAAGCGGACCAGTGTAAATAAGTGGAAGAGAGCTGATTTGCTAATAGCCTTGAGTCAGTAGTACTGTGCTGTACTCTTGTCGCTACGATTTCCCCTCTTTTGCCTGAGGTAGGTAGGAGTAACCGGAGATACACCCTAAAGGATCCCCCTAATTCTAAAGGACATGCCATTTTGAGATCGTAGATCGAAGCGCCAGATGAAATTGCCCTCCGGCAGTCCGTCATGGTACATACATCTATGCATATTGCTCAACTTTCCCATCATACTCTTGGCCCCGCCGGGACACACTTCCCCCAATCAGCATGCCCCATTTCCCACATGCCAAGCCGTCACTTGTCGCCAAAAAGGCCGATGATCGTCATGCCATTCGTACCTTATGTAACAGTTAGACCGTAAGACGGTAGTCACGCGGGGTCGATATAATACTATATATACCACCACGCTGGGTGGGGGAGACAATCTGACTGGAGCGCTAAAGATGGTATTTTTGGTAATACTGATTGATTCTAGCGATTTGGGTTCGAAATAAACCCCCCTTTGGAGAACCGTGTGGACCATTTTAGGCTATACGATACCACCCTGTCATGACTTATAAGGTAATGTATAAGATGGAGTTCCAAACGACGATTTGCGGACGTTTCGTCTGTAAAATAGTATCTTGTATGCCAATCAAACCGGTAATGCGTTTTCAAATTCCTCGGCAGTCAAGCCAATTGACCACGGACGGTGCCAACAGCTTTAACCGATTTAAACGATGCCTTTTTGCAAATAGTCTGCCAGGGCCAGTATACTCAGGTCGATAAAGTATGTGCTGCCTGACATCCCAATCATATGCTTTCCAGCTTATCCGAAAGCCAACGCAGCAGGGGGGGGGGGAAAGCGTGGCTGGTGCCAGTGGTGGCCTTTGATACGAACTAGGTACCCACCAGATTTGTGTTGAGGAGCAAACACCGAATTTTTCACAAAGGCACCGGCTTTCTGCAAGGTTTTCCATGCTGCCTGTCATGGTTCGGCAGTTGCGGAGGTACCTCCGGGTTACGGGACCCTGTTGACCGCTGTTCCCCCGGCAAAGTGGGGGCTTGCAAGTACGGAGATCGAGGCGCTGTCGCGTGGACATCGTATTAGTCCTCATAGGGCTAGGGCTGGTCATCTGACATGAAGAGTTTTCATACTTGTAGCAAATAGAAGCGGGACGGGTTTTGCTCGTTACGACTAGAACCAAAAGGCGATCACTAGTAGTCTGTCACTAAGGTACCTACCTACCTTATTCAGTAACTTATATGAATACTAGTTGTAGGCAAGAAAGCGTATAACCGCTTTCCCACACATCTCAAAGAGTCAAAGAGCAGCATTCTACTACTACTACTACTACTACCACTACCACTACTACTAGGTAAGGTACCTTATTCTCTCGACAAGGAGTTCTCTTAGCTCAGCATTCTTGTTGTCTAATTTCTTGATGCAATAAACCTGGCTATATGCTCTCCACGCTGTGCCTCTGTGTGCCTGAGCTCCTTACATCGTACTTTATCGACGTTCATACGGAGCTGTCTCCTGGCCGTAAATCCCTGTCGTACTTCGTCCGGTCCCTCAACGGAACGCTCCGCATACAATCGAGTCGCAAAGGAGGGTTCATTCGTCATCCTCACGACTTCACGCATGAGCCTTCAGTAAAGAAGGTCTTGGATGATGTCTGACTGACCAATGGATGCATGCTAACCAAAGCACGTTAGCTCGTTGCGCGAAGCTTTCATCAAGAGCTGAGCAGGCCAAAGGACGTACTCTGACAACCTACATGCAGACTTCCTGCCACTCTTGACGCTTGCAGAACTCGTCTAGCCATAGCCATCATAACACCCAACTTTCTCGCGCCTCTCAATAGCACCTAGACCCCAGCGAGCCAGAATCATGTAAGTGCTGGCAATGTATGTTCTACGCCGTTGCTGACTTTCCATACAAATTAAGCATCATGATTATATGATGGCTGCTTTGCTTTGCATGGCTTGACACGCATAGGTCTCATGAGCCTCGGGTCCGAAGAGATTCTAAAGCCCAATTTACTTACTGAATACCGACGCGTCAACCTTGCCCCAATGATATTGGCAATACACTAACCCACAACATTGCCTTCGTGGATACCACCTATCTTCATAGCCCTGAGCCTGGTCCGAACTTGCATCTACATCCCTCCCACACCTTCTCTATCGCTTTTCACCTCACTCTCCTCCCTCTATATATCCGTCTCCCCGTCTTTCTCTTTCACCTACTCGATCTAACCCCAAACATATCCACCACTATAATCACCCTCACTAGCTGGCCCCAGCCTCTTCAGCATCCCCATCCCCACCCCTCTCCTCCCCCCCTCCAAAGCACCCCAGCCGCCCTCATCATCGGCGCCACTTGACGTATCCAATCCGCCAAGGACAAAAGTGGCTGCTCGCCGCCATCGTTCACCAGCAACCCGTCAACTTGGAGGAGGGCGACCAGCCGCAAAGATTCAAAAATCGAACTCACGACTGGAGGTTCTACATGGAGCTGGACAAACGCCGCTGATGACGGCGGTGGCGGTGAGGATTTTGGTCGATCCAATTCACGCCTGGACTGGGTCCAACGAATTGAAGGAACAGCTAGCATCGAGCGCCTACAAATCTGACAGGTTGAGGGACGATCGAATAAGGGCTTCATGGAAAAGGTTCTTCTCCACGTCTGGACAGAAGTCTGAGGCATCGGCTCTCGGTAGCGCTGGCATTCAACGTTCATCCTTGGTCTTTTGGCCCCTAGGACTACTGCCACAGAGGATCTAAACGTGCGTAAACCCCCTTAGGCGTATGACGTTGACGTCAACCTTGTCTTGTCTAGTGCCTCTACTGCGACGGTTCGCCAGCATGCCGCCAATTCTCTTTTTGATGTAGCTGATGTTCGAATGCCCGTTACCGAGGCTGAAACACGACCTATCATATTCATTCTGCATTCCCCTAGGGAAATCGTCGTCAAGGACGTATGTGCTGTCCTCAAATGTTGAATTGTTAGCACATTGCTTACTTGCGTTTGTTTGCTCTCGAGACGCCCTTTCTTCAGGCTCCATCTCCGTTTCATACTTCGTTTGACCTCAACCGTCGTCTGTCATGGCTGAAAATTCGATTATACAGGTATTGACTCGATCAATAAGCGCTTCCACATAACTGAAAGCCATTGCCCCAACGACCTTTCGCGTCCGCTTTCTAGGGACCCCGCACCGAGGTGCTTCTATTACAGCTCTAGGAGAGACTGTTTTTAGGGTCACCAGACAAGGGGCGAGTCGCCAAATCTGGGCGTTCTGCAAGCTTTCAAATACAACGTCGGAACCTTGGAACGTGTGCATACCGGTTTCAATTTCACGCTGACAATTCCTAGTGTAATATCAACATTCGATCTTTCCAGAAAGTAGAAAGGGCGAACGGTGTGCAGGGGAACGTTAGGAAACGTTCGATAATCCATCAGTCTGGAGTACTAGAGTAAGGCGGTTCAGAATCGTTCATCACTTTTCTTCGAATTCGGAAGGTCCAACAGCGATTGTCACTGATATTCACGCAAACCATTCGAAGACGGGCAAAACGTCCAGACTTGATTGACTCTGGGTTTCCTCGGTCTCAGCATCGTCCTTGACCACTGGGTATGGGATATGAATGATATCGAGAACAAAGGCAAGGTGGGCGGGGAGAAAGGGTCTTCCCCCCAAAGTTTGCTCGAAGCTATAAAGACCCAAACTTCCTCAGACACTGTGCGGATCGTGAAGCCTGTCAATACACTGGACAAGGTAGGACGCAGACTTCTAATCCTAAGCTGGCAGGTAGCCCTTATGCCTGTGGACAGACAACCTTACAGGCCTTTACCGTGCGCAGAGGTAGGTAGGAGTCAATGAGGTTTATACGCTCGTAAGGGCACCTTCGAATGGGTGTTTGGCCGTGGCCCTGAGGTCTCGTTCAGTCCTGGACAGCAGCCACAAATACCTTGTACAATCTGGATACAAGGTAAACTTGGCTCAGACAAATCGACCTTGGTGAGATGTGCAATGAACCATAAAAATCATGGAACGTCTGAACTTGTCAGGAAAGCAGCAATGAGGAAGCAGACGCTCATCCCCGTTTTCTTTCATGATCGATGAATATTCAATATCTGGAAAGAACGCGGAGAGACTTCTCGAAATAACTCTATATCGGCTTATCATGGCTGACAAAGGTTTGTTGAGCTTTGAAGTCCCAATTCGCATTTGGTGATCGCAACCAAGAGTACCGCAGTCTCATCTACAGAACATTCTAGATACCCACCAACCGGCTGTTGGTAAGTTTCAGCACGATGCGAAAGCGACAATGGAACTAAATGCTCTCATAGAAGTCTGCAGCAAGATCTTTCACTCACTGAGACCGAAGATATCATTGCAGGACGACACGGAGTACTCTAAGTCTTCTATTCTTCAAAGACGCTCTGAATGAGCACACTGGCCACTACAGGTATATTCTCGATATTCTCCATCCCTGCTTTGTGAGTGGCAAGCCGGGCGAAGTTACAATAAAAATGTGGCTAGCTAGTCGACAGAACTGGCATTCAGGAAAGCAGTGACCGAATATCCAGGATTTGAGATCCAGAACCAGACGTAGGTTGATATGCAGCATATAGGTTTGGACAGATGAGGTTGGGTCTCTTTGGTCAAGATCGGAATGATGAGCATTGTGCAGTGCAGGTACACCACATGGCCATCGAGAATAACGACAAATCTAATCATTGTTTCCTGTGGACACGCTTGGTTCTCGAGGAGCTGAGAGAGAGTTTTGTTCACGGGGGTACCACATCAGAGCTTCTCGCACCACCCCGAAAGAACTTGAAGATCTACAACTACGGGCGCTGTCTAAGATCAATGCTGGTTATGACCAAGTATAAAATAGTTAAATCTAGATACTTCTGTCCGCAAAGACTCAATAGATCTAGCACGCTTCACTCGCTCATGGCGGCAATCGCCATCGCGCTATACGGAGTGGCCGAGCAGATGCCCGTGGCGAGCATCCTTCGGCGGCTGGCAAACCGCTGTGGGAATTTGGTCGAGCAGGTTGGTCCATCCTTTCAGCTGTGTGGGCTGGGCGGTCATTCTAGGAAACTACAACCCGTCCATCAGACGGTGAAATACTTTTCCCAACTTCCCCAGAACGCTAGGTATACGTTCGCTGGCAGCTAAACACTTTTCTTAGAGAACGGCACGTTATCGAGGCAGAGGCTCTATATTCACACTGCGACCTCCATGCCTTTCAATGATATCGAAGATTACTCGAGGAACTTGCCTTATCCGCTCATTCATGCTGCTGAATTCGTAAATGCGAGAACAAGTCGCCGACCTCATGGACCAACTTCTTTCGCGATCCTACGAAGTCAGCTACGCGGAGACGAATAATCGCCTTGGTCAGGTAGGCGCCGTGGCGTCTTCTCCTTCAAACGCGGTGCAGACCATGACCCAGCCGGCCTAGAGGTTCACCATTCTCTTGATCAAGCGGAAACGAACAGGCTTTAGAGTTACATCCTGCAATACCGTGCGGATCTCGCCCGTCTCCGGAACCGGAGCGATGAACCTGTCAGACACAAGCTGCTGATTTGGTCGCCATATTCCTCCTCTCATGGGGTGGAGTAGGACCACGGGACCTCAACAAAGCCACTCGAATGCCCGATCTGACGACAACGCGATGTTGGCTCCTACAACCCCATCACCATACACATTCCAGTCCTTGGAGGTGATGGCCCCGTGTCCGCCGCAGTCAAGGAAGCGCTTTGGCCATCGTCGCCCTCGACGCGCCATGCACAATGGGGTTCCAGACCAGGCGACGAGTGGGCAGGAGGGCCGGGCCACTCAGGGTTCTACCTCGATTTTCCGTCATCGGTGTTTGCACCTATCCTTCCGAGCCCGGAAACCGTCTACCGACCTGGTGGAATGGTGGGCTTCGTACAGCATTTTGAGGTTAGGTCGTTCTGGTTCGTTCAATGCGGGTATCAAGCGGTCGCTCACCTCTGCGTCTCCACCGCTGCAGCATTGTTTTATTGATCGTAGCGGTCAGTCAGCCAATGACCTGGATATGCTGTTGGTAGGCAGGCAGACTGCGACTCTGTCGCTACTGTTTCCAGACCTGTCGAGACGCCTTTGTGCATCAATCTCGAGCTTGAGAAACAAGGGCGTTGTTCACGGTAGCACAATGGTTTCACTGTTCTCAGTATAACTCCCGCCCTTGAAACAATTGCATTCTCCTCGACAAGCTCTACATATAATCCAACATCTCATCCTCCCATCCTCTACTTTCCAACCCCACCCCCCCCCTTTCAAACCCCACAGCACCCCCGCAACCCAACCCTCTCCCCACTCCAACAAATCACACAAAAAACGAAAGAACCAACCCCCCAACACCCACCCCGCCGAAAACCCACAACAAAAAAATGTGTACCAACGACCTAACCCAATGGCGCTGCGGCTGCGTCCGCTCCAGCGACCGGACCCCGTGCGACCGCAAAGCCGCCCGCGAGCAATGCGAGTCCGCCACGAGCCAGCTCGTCCGCACCGAGGCGACCATGTGCCCTGCGTGCCACGAAGCGTTCCTGGCGGCGGCGGGGTCAGAGGTTGCGGTGGTATAACGAGCGGGCGTGCGTGTGGAATGGGATGGTGGTGCAGGATGCGGGTCGGTAGGGGTGGGGGGGAGGGGATGGAGGGAGGGAAGGAAGGTGGCGGGGATTCGCTGTCTTGGTGGAGTACGGGAAGTTTTGCGATGAGAGGAAGGTGGCGGGGTGGATCTTGGGGCAGGTGGTCCTGTTTGGGTTTTCGACGGTTGGATCCGACTCAGTGTGATTGGGGGGGGGGGGAACTCATAGCATACCAAAGCCTTCTTCAATCTGGATACTCCGTCACGATGTATGCAACATTGCAAGATCCGCGCCCGTCTGCCAGCAAGATGTGCTCACAGCGAACTACACATCCGGAGTCCTCGAATGACGAATCGACACTCCGATTTCCCCCTTTCCCAGCACCGCACGCCGTAGCTCCCATCCCATGCACGTGCCATATCTGCGATGGAAAATCGCTCTCGAAACACCAATCCCAGGGGTCCAACGGCCGAGGATTCCGGCCGAGAAGCCAGGCCCACAGCACTGCTCTGGAAGCGAGCGGAAGAGCACGCGTGATGCGGAAATGACAGCCGCGGGCTTGCGGCTTCGAGACCCCGTGTAGCGGCGCGGTAGTCAGTCTCATGACTTGGAGTTGGAGCGAGTAACTCTCCGCATCCAGACCGGGAAGTTTGGAACGGCGATGGATGAGGTTGGAAGATGTTGATGTGAAGAAGGTGGCGCGTTGGTGTCGAAGATGGTCGGCTGGTATGAAGAATGTTGCTGAACCTCCTATGGATGGCGGCCGCCGCCTCGTCGTCAAAGAACCACCTCGGGCAAGCCGCGCGATACCATCTTCAACCTGAGCCTTGTTTTGAAAGTGCTACGTGAGTTTCGGTATAAGGGTACACAATTCTTCTTCTTCTTTTTCTTCTTCTTCTTCCTCTTCATCTTCTTCTTCTTCTTCTTCATCTTCTTCTTCTTCATCTTCATCTTCTTCTTCTTCTTCTTCTTCTTCTTCTTCTTCTTCTTCTTCTTCTTCTTCTTCTTCTTCTTTTCTTCTTCTTCTTCTTCTTCTTCTTCTTCTTCTTCTTCTTCTTCTTCTTCTTTTTCTTCTTCTTCTTCTTCTTCTTCTTCTTCTTTTTCTTCTTCTTCCTCTCGAAAGATACTGTTATTCAGCACTCCAAGAATCCACAGGTAAAATAGAGAAGCGGCAGCATGGGATACACGGCATCGTATTCGGACCTACCAACCACCCAACCACCGGCACCAGACCACTGACGCACAGGGAGCGTGGTGCGATCATTGCAGCGCCAACATCATCCCACCAACCATCCAACCCCACAGCTCCCCTCAAAGCCATCAGCCCAAACCCTCCCTCCCGAGAGGTCCCAATCCCAATCAGCTTTCAAGTCAAACACTCGACTCTACCCCGTGTTCGATTCCCCACAGCCAGGACGGGACGGGACGATCGAAATGATTATCAATCCCATCACAACATCTTCGCGCCACCGTGGCCCAAAATGGCTATCCATTGCACCACAGACTTCCGCAAACGCCGAAAGAGGGCCCGGAGAACAGGCGTCTCCTTTCCGGTATGTCGAGGGTGGAACCGGTCGAGGCGTCAGCGCACGCGAGAGGATGCCGCGGCGGATTTCTAGGCGATATTCCAAACACGCCTTCGGGACGAAGAGGCTCATTTGGGGCCATCGGATGCCCATTGACGAAGCCGTGAACGTTGTCGGAAAGCCCGGTTTTGGTGCGGCCGCTGTGAATGTGTTCGGTTGTGGTGAGGGATTGCGATGTTACGGGAGCGAGCTTTGCGGGTGGCTCTCGTTGACGGGCTTGGAGTATTTGCCGGTTTGATATGATGAAAGAGGGAATGTGGTCTGGCTGGATCTAGGGAGATGAGGACGCTGGGAAAGAGGGGGATGCGAGGAGGTGGTTTGCAGTTGGAGCTGTAGGTCGGTTTGGGTACGCTTGGGGCTGGCGTTGGTTAATCTGCAGAGTTTCTAGGGTTAAGGATACAAACGCCACGTCATTCGTTCTCACGACGTTTTGCATTTGGTCTTGGCATGCCATGCGGTATGGCCAATTGGTTTCAAAGTATCAAGACCCGCCCATCGATCCTTTTTCAATAGAAATCCCAAACATGACTCCTCTCCTAGCTTCATAGTGAAACAAGAGTCTCCTACCTAATGCACACTTGCAGTATCGATCACCGGCCCTTTATAGTCTCGTCTTCCCCATGCTCAGTACCAAGTCACGCTAAAAATCAGAACCGCTCCTGTGACCAGTATGGTGTAATTCATGTTTGCGCCATCGACCGGCACGTCCGGTGGCCAGAAGCTGATGAACAGAATGATGAGCACGTAGATGATGGCAAACAAGTCGACCGCAGGCCCCTTAATGCCGGGGGTATGCCAAGGGCCCCAGCTAAGCTCGAAACCAGACGCGTTCGTGAGCTGTGATCCTGAGAGAGGGGAATGCCGAATTCCGCCGGTAGTGCGGCGCCAAAGGAGGAGCCCGATAGCCAGGACATACGATGCCGACAATCCAGCGACTGCTATAGATACAATGTTGTTAAAAGCTGTAGATGAGCCTAGTAATATCAGTGAAAGAAGGGTGGATGTTATGGTCGTGGCGATGATTGTTGCGACAGGGATCGATGTGCGTGGATTGACCTGCGGAGCACACGCAGTCAGCGGCAGAACTTGTCCACATCGAGGTGAAACGGTGTTTGAATATTGCATCATTTTACCTTCGCGAGAGTCCTATGGCCTGGCAAGCCTCGATCGCGTGCAAAAGACCAGGTCATCCGCGAACATGACGCTAACAGGCCAACGTTGGCAAACAGCTGCATAACGGTAATGATACAAGCCATAGCCGTTGCTCCAGCAGTTGAACCAGTTGCCTGGACGTATGTGTCCATAAAGGCGTAACCGGTCGGGGAATTTGGAGAAGACTGCAAATCAACGGTGACAAAGAGAGTCGCGATCATCATCGAAAGAGCCAATGCGCCATTAATAACGGTACTGAACAGAATCGACCAGGGAACTACAGTCGGAGCGTCCTGAATTTCTTCGGACATCTAGAAAGAGGGTGGTCAGCCCATTTTGCCAAGAATCTCAGTAGTGACCTACGTGTACTGCGCCGTCGGCATCCAAGAACATGAAGACGGGTCCAAGAAGGCCGACCATGAACGAAGTCCCTTGGGTAGGCAAGTTGCCCAGATTCAGCCACAGGCCAAAGACTTGGTGAGGGTCTTGGTGTTCTCCAAGGATCAGCAGCGGTAGCAGAATGGCGGAATATCCGACTATGTGGAGGACCAATATGAAACCCTCGAACTTCGGTAACTCAGTACTGGCAAGCACGTTGATGAATACAGCGAAAGCCATGACCGCCCAGAACAATAGCATATGCTGATACGGTTTAGGGTAATAACTTGGCCTAGTCAAGACAATCAAGCCTTGAATAAGAGCTGCCGAGACAAAGTTGGCTGTGGCAAATGATGCTTGCCAGCCAATAACAGTAAGCCAGCCTACCAAACATCAGTCGAAATCTGTGAGTCGATAGTCTATGAGGAGTGTACCAGTCATATAGCTGAGTATTTCCTGCGACCCTGGTGGAGCAAGCATTGATACCCAGTGATATTGGCCACCTGCGGTGGCGGCCCTATCGGACAGATAAGCTGAGATCATAGAGAGCTATTGGTGGGCACAACATTGAAGCAAGTTCGCCCAATGAGGCATAAGTTGCCAAGGTACCTGCCCAAACAAAGAGAAACCCGTATATGAAGCCTGCGGGCCCTACGCTGCCGCCGGAGGTCAGCTACAATTAGAGAAGACTAGGGCTTTTGCAAGACTTACTTGAGGATAGAGACGTCGAATATGCTGGAGGAAACCTACGTCAGCACAGCAATAGTGTAGCTTATTCCCCCTTACATGAACACAGCTTCCCAGGTGATTAAAATGGTACAGGTAAAGCCCAGGATCGATAGAAAACCGAAATTGTTCTATGACTATCAGCTCCACATGGTCCTCCTCAAAGCCAGGACACGGATGGCACCTTTAAGACTGGCAGTTTGCCGAATCGAGAGAGCACATCGAGCTGCTGCTCACGGTTGTCCTGGGAGAACGTCTTGTTAAAACCACGGCTTTGGAGCCCGTAGTCTTCAGCTTCATGAACTTCTTGTAGCTCCTTTTTCGGCCATACTTGCAAAGGAGAAATGGGTGAAGCAAAGCACAAACAACCGAGCGGCGAGGACAACAAGGAACGTCGACCAATGTCGGTGCAGCAAGATTAAGACTGAGCAGATGCAAGCAGGATGGCGACTTGCAGCGGTCGGATGAGAGTAGAGGATCTTGTCATGCTTGAATTGCGCCTCTACAAGTATAAGCATGATGTGGAAATGCTCTATGCATGCCGAGACAATGCGTGCTGAGAATATGCAAGGATCAGCATGCGAGTACACTGAGAATGGCACCCAGTCTTGCCTGCAATACGACAACGTTGATTTGCATGTTAGGCTAATAATCGAGGCAATGCAGACGCGATTGGTAGCCAATAAACATCACTTCCATCCCCCAAATTTGCAGGGTCACCAGGGTAAAGAGCGGACGTTACCGGCGGCCGCCCTTTCTCAACCGCATAATCCTGCAAGATCGGGGGTTCCAAACAGAGGAAACTGTGGAGACAGTAGTGAAAAAGAAGCTTGGCTGATTGGTCCACTCCACCCGACTTGTGTTGTTATTGGATAACGGATAATGGAGGATGGAGAATGGATAATCGGACCACTCTCTGGCTCCTAATAATGTACTTTACATTTCTACAAATTCAACCTGAGAGACTCGTGACGACGGGAGTTGAGTGCCGGGTGACGAACTATTTAACACTTCTACTACGGCAGCTTTATGCGCCCCGCCCCGTCATGTCCCGGGGCTAAGGTACCTTAGCTCGCTTAGCTACTCGTAGGCTCAGTAGTCAAAAAGATTTAAAAAATCAGAAAATCATGATTATGATTTTTTAATTTAAAAAATTAGATTTAGTCTGATTATTTAGATAGAATATTAAAAAACTTCAATTTTTATAGAGATTTTAAAAAAATTAGAGAAAATTCTTAAAAAAATATTATTTTTATAGATTTATAATTCTATTCTAAATTATATAGATATATTATATTATATTATATTTATTTAAAGATAGTAATAAGTTATAATTAAAGTTAACTATATATTTCTCTCTCTAAAAATACTACTTAAGAATTTAATTTAGAAAAAATTAAAAAAAATTAAAAAAGCTATATTCTTAAGAAGTGTAATTTATACTATATAGTATTATATATAGATATATATATTAAATATATATTAAGTTTTTAAGTAATTTACTCGATAGACGAATTTTCGTTTTCGAATAAATCGTTAATATCTTTAATAACTCTTTAACTCTTTAATAATATAATTTACTTAAATATATCCGGAGCTAGTCTATTACGTCTATCCGTAATAATATTTTTTTCTATTAAAAAAATTAATTTAGAAGATTTAAAAGTAGTAGAAATAGCGAGATAAATTCGAGCTAATTAGACTAGAATCGGAGAATCTTTAATTTAATCTCTTTAATAATTAAGTAATTTAGTTTATAATATATAAATTAATATATATTAAAGTTATAGATAAATTTATAAAGTACTTATCTTTTTAGATTTAAGATTTTTTTTAAAATAAATCTTAATCTTAGATTTCTTAACTTCGATATATTAAGATATATTAATATTATTAAATATCTTATTATTCGAATTTTTTAAACTCGAATTCGTATATAAATATCGAGAATCGTCTAGTTATAATATGAGATTCTTATTATTTATTTCGATTTTAGTTTTATTAAAAAAATTGTTAATAAAAAGCCTTATAAAAATTCTATAAAAAAAATTTACTTATCTTTTAAATAATTCTTTAAACTCGTTAATAACGATTTAATTCTCTTAATTTAAAAGGCCTTAGCTTAAAAAATATTTATCTTTAAAATAAGAATTAAGAATAATTTTAAAGAAGATATTTTAATAAGTAGATTTTCACTTATTAATATTAAACTTTAGAAATTATTTATCGAGTTTTTAAATATCTCGTAGATAGACGTTTTAAAGAATTAAATTCTATAATATTAGTTAATAATATATTTCTAAATTAAAAAAATAAAAATATAAAAAAACTTACTAGATTTATATCTCGATATCTTTTATCTAACTTCTTTCGAATAGAATATATATATAAATATACGTATTCGATTATTGAATAATTAGAGTTCTAAAGAATAATAAAAGACTTAATAAAAATTCGAAAGATTTCGAATATTTATTATATATATTCAAATTCGTCGTCTCTAAAAGTAAATTATTCTTTATTTAAAATCTTTCGTAATACTTTAATTAACGTCTTAATAGTTAATTAATTATTAAGAAAGTATTATATTTTCAGTATAGCGTGAGAAACCTAACTAGCGTAACTTGATATATCGCTTTCTTTCTTTAATTTTATTTATAGCTTTAGCTAAATTAATTAATTAATCATAATTAAAACTAAAAAATATCTTTCGCTTCTTTATAAAACTTCTTTTTAGAAATATATATATACTTCTTATATAGTAACCCTAATAATTAATAATAATATAGATTTTTCTATATTCTTTAATTATTATTCTTACTATTTTCGTATTAAAGATATTATTTTTTATATTAAAAAGTTTTTCTTTTATTACTTTTTTAAAGAAAGAATCTTTTTCTAAAAGAAAGAATCGCTATAAGAGTTATTTAATTTCTTTTATCTTTTTAAATAACTTTTCTTCTTTTAAAGAAAACTTATCTCTTATTTTTAATACTTTTTTTTCTTCTCGATAAATCTTTCTTTTTATTTTCTTTTTATATCTTTTTTATAATAGAATATAACTATTTATAATTAATAAAATTAAAAAATCTATTCTATTAGACTTAACGATTTTACTTATCTTTTAATTTTAAATTTTCTTAATAAAAAATCTTAAACTTTACAAGTAAATTCTTAATAAGAATTATTATTAAATTATTAAATCGATTATATAGATTTATAATTTATCTATCGATATTCTATATAATTAAAATTTATATATTTAATAAGATTAATCTTAGAGTATTAACTCGATCTCTTTTTTAAAGATTACTCGATTAGAGAAACCTCTTATCTATCCTCTTTTTTAAAATTATAATTTTAAATTTATAAATACTTTAATAAAAGTAATTACTATCTTTATATAAAAAGTTTATTATTATATAAATAATAATTACTTTTTTATTTAATAAGTTAAAATAACTCGTCTTAAGTCTAAAAATATCTCTATTTTCGAGAATTTAAGCCTCGATTTAAGAGATTATATAGACGTCTTTTTAAAGTCGTTATCTTCTTCTTTTCTTAAGATAACTCGATCTTCTTATCTTAATAATAGAATTTCTTTTTTTAAACTCGATAAAGATAAAGAAAGAAGATTTATTAGTCTTTTCTTATTATTACTTATAACACTTACGCGAAAAATTTAATTTCTTTATTAATCTTAATCTTTATCTTTCTTTTTATTACTTTCAAATTTTATATTAAAAGTAAACTCTACTTTAAAGAAATTAAGTATATCGAATTTTTAGAATCTTTATATAGCTATAAACTTAATAAATAGAATTCTCTTTTTATTAAATTAAGTTATATTTAATAAGATATTAAGAAATAGTAATAAAGAATATCGAAATTTTATAAGTATAGGATTTTCTAATAATAAATTTAATAGATCGATTTTTAATTAATTAGAAGCTTTTAATTTAAGAAATATCGCTTTAAAATTTAATTCTAGTAAAAATTAGCTTTTATAAAATTAAGAAAGCTCTTAATAAATATCGTTTTTATTTATAAAAGTAAATTCGATAATATAATAGATTATACTATAAATTATATAAGTAATTATAAAAAATTTATAATTTATATCTAATATTATAGATTTAATAAGTTTATAAAATTTTCTAGAATCTTTTAAATAAGCTACTTTAAGAAGATTTAGTAATAATTTCTATATTTTTAATCTAAGATTCTTTTATTTAAATTTTAAAGAATTATATAATATTAGTAATATTATTTTTAATAATAAAGAAATTATATATTAAAAAATATATTCTTTTTATTAGCGTATAGAAGACTATATCGTAATTAAAGAAGAGAATATTATATATATAAATCTCTTAACTTATTTTCGAAGAGCTATCTTATTCTAATAATTAAATACTCTATTCTAAGATAAAAAAAACGCGATAATATAACTTTAAATAAAATTAAAAAGAATACTTACTCAACTATAAAATTATTTTAAAATATTTATATTCTTAGCTTTAGATTAATTTATAAGATAAATTTATATTTTTAATAATGTTAATAGTAGATATAATTCTATAAGCTACGTATAGAGTATCTTTAAGTATATTATATAAGTAGAAATTTTTAAAAAATACGCTTAAGCTATTTAGGCGTAGAATTACTTAAAAGTCGAGTTATAAACTACTATATCTTCTTTAATTTCTTAGATTATAATAGAGTTTTCGCTTAATTAATCCGTACCCGCATCACATTTCTAAGATCATTATTTATTTTTTATTATTATTTTATAATTACTTAATAAAATAACTTTAAATTTTAGATATAGATTAATTAGATAGTAGAGTATATCTACTAATTATAAAATTTATTATTACTTTATTAATTCTTTACGCGTTTTATTTGATTATATAACTTTCTATACTATTAATCTACTCTTTTTATATCTAAATTCTATTACTTATTATTTTAAACCTTAATCGTACTCTCCTTAATCTTAGATATATATAATTTCTTTAAGACTTTTCGCTTTAAATAGTATTAATATAATTTAATTTAATTTAGATTAGAGAAATTTGCTAGCCATAAAAGAACTATAAGATATAAGATTTTAAGAAATTTCTTTTATTGCTACGCATTATAACTAAAAGTATTATCTTAAATTAGAAAATACTCGTTATACTTAATAATTATCTTATAAATAAATAAGATTAATTGAGATAATAGAATATATATCTAATATCGATATTAATCGATCTCTTTTTTAGTATTCTTATTTCTCTTAAGTAGTATACTCT